AGACAGACAGACAGACAGGGCACGGGTCGTAAACATAATCACTCGAGTGCTCACTCAGCAGGCCACACACTGACTGACTGACTTCCGCGCTCGCTCACTGAAACAGTCTCGCTCTCTTGTACTGGTCAAGCGTCTCTCAGGCAGATGTCCATCACCGTGTCGTACTTCGTGCCAGGCTGGCCGGACTGCTTGCCCGGCGGAGCAAAAGGATTGATTCCCACCTGGAATCCCGCGGGGCACATGATCTGTGCAACGGCAGAGACAGCTGGATAGGAAACCTGGCATTCTTGATTGCGTCCCAAGTTGCTTCCATGCAGGACCAAAAGATCACCAGCAAAGTGCAAGAATACTTCTTTCGGAATGATCTGGCGGTGTGCCCCCAGCTCAACCAACGACCGTGCTCGTATAGAGGCCCAACAGACCTGCATGATTGAGCATAGCATTTATAGGCTCTGCTTTGACAGGGCTAAAACAGAGCAGCACATCCTAATCACTCTGCTTGCTGACTGGCGACTGCTGCGACTTGTGGACGGCCTCCACGACTTTCTCGAAGCTGTCGCGGCCTTCCAGAGCAGTAGCGAAGCCTGTCCTAAGATCTCGCGGCAAGGATAAAAATGTCAGAAACTGAATGGCATGACTCATTAGCGGCGGTCTGGACACTCACGGAGGATGGAGTCCTTGAAGATCTGCATCAGTACATCATCTTCCGTCGCCTGGGTTTCAATCAAGGGCTCTTCTTGCGAAGCGGCAGCAACACTTAGAACACACGAGCAGCTGCGAGCACCGACACTTGTATCAGCATTCTGATGATCTGGTCGGGTGGCCACTCGGAGGTAGCGTGCGGCGCTCTCTGACCAAGTGTGGGAGACTGCAAACGTCGACCAGGGGGCTTTCTTCGCCCTCATCAACCACGAAGTGAGGCTCACCATACCTACATACAAGCAGTCGCACAAGTGTTTCCTTGAGGTCCCCTTGTGTTCTACCTTGGGTGAGTAGCAGGAAGGAATCAACAACCGCCTATTGCGTCCACAATGCGGCGGACGGCGGGCGAGCACTGCGTGAAGCGGAGGAAGCAGTTCTGTAGTTTGTGCCTTACAGCACGTGGCAAGCAGAGTAGGTCGTGTCAGGAGCATATGGCTTAGAAACAAATCGACAAATGAAGGCACAGCGGTAAAGATGTTTGCTCCGGCTGAGGCAGAGGCAGAGGCAGAGATAGAGAGAGAGAGAGAGAGAGGTAGCAAAGGAATGACAGGGCAGAGGATTCTGTTGCTGCTTGTTTTGGACGTTGAAAACCTGACAGCAGAGAATAAACCGAAATTCCGCAGAAAAGCAGACAGGCAGGCAGGCAAGGAGGGAGGGAGGGAAGAACAGAGAGAGATTCGGCAGACACAGGCAGGCAAGGACAGAGGAGAGAGGGAGGGAGAGAGGGAGAGAGGTAGGGGGGGGGCGGGAGGGAAGGATGGAGGGAGGGAGGGAGGGAG